ATTACTTCTACTTGTTACATTATATATCTTATATATTTTAATAAAATGTACTATCGAAATTATTTTAGAAAAGTTACTATTGTAAAAGTAGATTATGTATTCCAATTATACCTACATATATGCATATTTATAAAGGAGAAGCATGCATACATCTATATTTGAATAAATACTACAGTATATTTTAACAGGAACGATTTACTCCTTAATAAAATTAATTCTTCAGTCAATTAGTTTTTAATTATCGTCTACCCAATATTAACACTTAAAAAAAATATAGGACATAGAAAACACTTCTAACGTGTTGTAAAAAAAGTTTTATAAGTATAATAAGTGTTTAAGATATGAAAAAAGAATATTTTATGAAAAATGAACCTTTCTTCGTAATGATTTATAGATCAATTAGTTTATGTTATATATAGTCTTAATATTAGTTTTGAAGTCGTGCTATGTGCTCATGAAAGTTATATCGGTTTCAAGAAAAAGAACTTTTAAAAAAGTTTTTATTTCACTTACAATTAATTAAACCTAATTTGGTAATTAGGGCGACATCTACTGACCACACTCGCTTCTAGTCCTGAAGAACTGGCAACACTGCTAACTAAAACCACAGTATCTAAAACTAAAAACATTTGGCAATAGAACTTTGTTTATAATACCATAATACGGCCGGTATGTGGTTTACGAAATTTAAACAAACAACGTGCAAAAATATTTTGTATTTTATTTATTTGATAACAACTCACTAACCAAATATTACACCAACACATTGTGAACATTATAGTATCCATTACGACGTCTTTTACAATGTATTTAAATTGTGTAGCTACTATTAACCTTACTTTTGAAGTAAGTAAATGCATTAGATTGAAATGTGCAACTCCTATCTTTAATTGCCAGTAGTAACTTTTAACATGATATTAACTTAGATTTCAACATACCGCCTAATTGGTGACATTCCAAGTGTTGAAGCTACTGCTCGTTAGTATTTATGGCGCGAAAACTAGCATCAACCTCATTAACATTCGTTCTGGAAACTTGGTGAGCATTTTATGTACATTTTTAATATTTGCACAATTGTATTTGTCATAGAAGTAGTGTAGGTGTTTTGGTGTGAAATTTCTGTTTATTTTATAAGAAACATTGAACTTTTATTAACAATCATTTCTTTTTGATCATACAGCAAACGTCTCGGTATGGAAGGCTATGTGGTTACAGTTAGTGGTAAGAAAAGGAGTGTCGTAACTCCAACAAAGTGTTCTCCGACAAAAAAAGCAAACTTTATGCAAATCTCGCCCTTGTTAATGAAAATAACGACACCATCAAATAGACCCTTTCGAGTATCTGTTGAAGGAAACATTGGTGCAGGGAAGTCAACATTTATTAAGTATTTCTCTAAATTTCCGGGTATTGAAACTTACCAGGTAACTAAAGGAATATTTTTGACCTTATATTTTAAGTAATTGCAGTATTTGTTCTAAAATACAAAATTAATTATAAATGTAGGAACCAATTGAATGGTGGCGAAATTGTAATGGTCACAATTTATTGGAATTGCTGTACAGTGACACAAAGAAATGGTATTTCACATTCCAATCATATGTGCAATTAACAAGGATACAAACGCAGCTATCAAAGCCAAAGGATTCCTTGACAAGAACACAAATGTTTGAACGTTCTGTTCAAAACAATCGTTACTGCTTCTTAGAACAGGCTTACCAGAATGGCATCATCCACCCTGCTGACTATGCAATAAGTGATAAATGGTACAAACAAGTAATGGCTACATTTGACCTAACATTGGACTTGATAGGTATCCATCTAATAATTTTCCGTTACAATTAATTTTTACCATATTGTTTTCTCTTTAGTGTATTTAAGAAGCTCTCCAGAAATAGTTTTTGAAAGAATGAGGAAAAGAGGGCGGCCAGAAGAGACAGCTGTCCCTTTACAGTACCTCAAAGAGCTCCACGAGGCACATGAGAAGTGGCTTATGTCTGATGATGTTACAATCAATAATGTTCCTGTTTTAATATTGGATGCTGACAGTACATTGGAAGAAATACACGAGATGTACCACAAAAATGAAGATAAAATATTGGGTAAGTGTGAAATATTGTATAATTAATTAGTCATATCCTAGCAGCGTTAATCAGAAATAAAAATTTGATGATTTAATAAGGAAATTACAAAATATGAAAGAATGTGGCTACAACAAAAAAGCAAATTTTAAATCTCGATTAAACTAACATAATAATCCACATTTTGGACAAAAGCACAGCATAGAAATCATATAATAAACTACATGGTACCTATAAAAAAAAAATTAAAAATTAAAATGAAATTATAGGGTATGATATTAAAGGACGACCAGTGGAAAAAAAAGAAAAGGATAAAGTAAGGAGAGTACTTAAGTTGGATTAAGTTTCTTATAACATTTTAATTTATAATTTATTAATTGATTCATTTTACACTTTTAAAAGGAAAATATGAATTTATGTACACAATTTATCAATCAATTTAATTATTTCAGTCTGGTAAAAGTTTGAGGCATTTATTATATTAATAATAGTCTTTTATATTTATTAACTAGTATAATAAAAAAGTTGCAAATATATTTTAATATGTATCTGTCCTATCTTCATCTTTTCCATTTTTGGTACTATTAATTCTTAAAGTACAAACCCTTGATAGCATGAACATCGCGTAGGGGAAATCCCTCATAGTACGAGCGTGTAAATTACACTAGAATTCTAAGCCACTGTATAACTAAACTAAACGTCTGTTTCTCAGAAACGAATGTGCATATTTTGCCCTTGCTGGTGTGTCATTGCTGTAAATCCCCAGTATATTTGATTTAATAATAATAAAAAAAAAGCATACGTACAAATATAAAACACTTACATTATCATTAAAAGATAGCAACAAACGACTTTTTCTCTTATTAGTATTTTTACAATCATCAAATCAGTAATGTCCCAAGGCATTCAGCCCTCTAGGTTACTACATTTAAAGCGTCTACAAAATGAACCCAAGAATAAATCGACATCTTTACAACTAATACGTCAGGGGAAGTACCAAATATATTGGGGATTTACAGTAAAGGCAACATATCGATTTTTAATACCAATTATCATTTGTTTCTATAAGCGAAGGTTCAGTATGTGCATAGTATACAATGACCTAACAATTAATATGCTGTTTACGCTATGCGATGTAAAATAGACCTGCCTTTCGTCCCTTGTGAAACGAATGCAAATACAGTACAAGTAGATGAGCTTTACAACTATATAATAAATAAATGAGTAAAATAAAAGGCTGCTTCAAAAAAGTAATAATTTTATTTCTTTATCAATATAATGTAACTGTTAAGCCCATGGTTTCGTTAGACCTTCTACAAAAGCTCTCCTTTCCTTTTCCAAAAATTGTTTACATTCTTCGTCGAAATTTGAATAAGAACTGGGTGCGTATTTTGTTAGAAACCGAAAGACCAAATAATTATTTATGTTAATTGCCTTAAACGGATTCATTTTTATCATGAACCAATTCAACCAATAACCAGCTGTAAACACTGTATCAGTTTGGTTTTCGTGTGTGGTATTTCTAAAGAAATATATATGCATGTTTACGTATCTAAAATACAACCAATTTTTTTTTTAATTAACTTATTAACTTACACGATTGTGTACATTTCTCTGCCCTCGCAATTTAAAAATTTTTCCATAGCCTTAACGTTTGTGGTGATATGAAAGGTTTGTGTATTTATAAAAATAAGGGGTTGCGAGATATTAAACACATCTTGTTCATCTTTTATGGGAAACATCCATGGATCAAACAAAATGCCTTGTCTTTAAAGTAAGCAATTATGTTTACAGATAACAGTAAATCAATTAATATTAAATCGTAATTAGGAACTTACTTGAACTCTTTCCTTTTGGAAATTGCATAGAGAGCGGTCGCGCCACCAAAAGAATGGCCACACATGGTAACATTGGTCACATCGATATGATCAATTAGGTCACTCAGCTCAAAATTGATTTCTTTATTTGTGGGCACATCTTTTAACACGTTTTCAGGACATTTACCCATATTTACCCCCAATAAAAAATCTAAAACTTTCTCACACTCTTCAGAGCGTTTATGAATCTGAAAAAAATTAATTGTAAACAAAAAGTAACAATAATTATTCTATAAAAAACGTGCATACTTGAGAATTTCGTTTATTGTAATGATTTTTTCCGAGATCGATATTTATAAAATCAATGGGTGTTCTTTTATCGTTCTTTGCGTCTTCTTTAGACTTGTAGTAGTAAGTATTACTGGCGGAGCCGTCCCTGTAAATTTAAAAATGACTACCAAAGTTCTTTGGTTATTTTTTTCAAGTACGGACCTGTGTTCGATAACCGCCACCAAATACCCTCTAGAAGCTAATTCGTTACAAATAACACTATACAAAAATCTGTTGCTTCCAAGCCCATGTGAAAAAATTATTGGTTTTAATTTGTGCGTGTTATTTACCTTTGCCCCGTACAGGGTGGGAATGTGGATATTTCCTGCCATTTTAAACATTAACTTAATACATTAAAGTGAATTAATTAATACACATATTAAAAATCTTTATAGAGTGATAAGAAAAGAAATACAGAATAGCAAATTAATTAAGTTTATATAAATGTTTACCGGATGTCCACCAAAAGACAAAACGAATTATAAATGGCATCATGCGAAGGACTCTGCTAAAACCATAAATATAACTTATATCAGGGCACCACGGAATCCATTGATTTCGATATTTCTAATTAGAAATAAATTGATTAATTTACGAAAAAACTAGTTGGTAAATTATAATTATTCTTACCCTAATATCATCTGTCTTTTCCGTAGGGTAAAATAGCCTTACAAAAAAGCCGTTTTCTGAATATTCTGTCATAAAATCTATACATCCTGGTAAAAAGGGCCCTGAAAATCCAATTTTATATATAATATACTATATCTGCATAAATAAAGGACTAAAACCCGATTATCCAATTAAAAAAATAATTAAATAATTAGTTTTGAAACTTCCTGCATAAATATCACAAAATCTATATTTGTTTGACGAAGATAATAAAAACTTTTTATTTTGTTATAACTCGTAATCGCATTGACGACATTAATTATGGTATTACTAGCAACTTAATTGGTACTATTTATAATAAAACTTAAATGTAATCTTTTTAATTACATTTGTGCATGAATGGGAACAAGAGTGGGGAAATTGGGCTTAACATGAGCACAAGCATACAGTATTTCTCATATCTCTTGTGAAAAATTTAACAAAATACATACTAATATGTATAGAAAAAATTATGAGTGCTGTCAGCACAGAGCAAAATAGTATTACATAAATGAAAGTTAGTAATTCAGCAGTTTCTTATGCTAGAGTGTACGATGTGTTGCATACCTATTTACAAACAATTCCTTTAAATTTTAATCATTGATTATTTTACATCTATTAAAAAACCATAATGGCCGACATCAGTAACAATGCGACAACAATTGAAAAAAATGATGGCCGACAACTGCAACAATTAGAAAAGAATGATGGCCGACACTACGTCATAATGGAGCAATAAAAATTGCCGGGGGCAGGGGGAAGAACTAGTTAATTTAAAAATAATTTGCACACATTTTATTACTAATTCGCTTGTTTGATATAGGTAATAGTTTATTTTATTATTAGACAAATGTACAATTTCGTACAGAAAATTCATTTTAGATTATTATTTAGAACAAATTCATACCTATCTATCAATTTAATCTAATGTTTGATTTTCGTATAACGAATTACGTTTAATTAAAATATGAGTAACCTAGTTGCTGACAACCTATCAACAGTATCGAATAAATAATAATTAATAATTACAAAAAAAAATAAAAAATCACCTTTAGATGTCGGCAAGCAGGATTGCCTGTTGTTGTTGTTATTACTGTTTCGAGACCACATAGTTGTTTATTTTTTCCAACAACTTTTAATATACTATCGAATTGTTATTATCTGGGTCGTGTGGTTATGTATTTTAAGTACATAAGTATCTTCTAGGTATAATCTCTTCTTTAAGCACGTCAGAAGCAACACTAGCTGTTTAAACAGTGTAAAGTATTGCAAACATGTAAAAGTAACAACAGTTTGTAATTTTGGCTAGTCGGGCTACCTTCCACTTCTGATATTCCTTTGCTTAGCACTTTTTTCACGTAGCCAAAGTTCAAGGTTTTCTAAATTAATTGGTTCATAATAAAAATAATAATAATATTACCTATGTGATTTTAATTTTTGAAAAAATTAAAATAAATGGGTATTTTTCATGTAAATGTCCATATGGACGATAGTTGTCATGCATTTAATTGTGCCTTATTATGTATGCATGTGGATCGCATACGAAATGATCATTAATTAACATAATTAATGATTGGTAACTCAAAACACGAACTTGTAAAGTACGAAATTACGAAATTTAATAGAGATTGAAAAAATGTTAGTGTATAGTATGCTACAAAAATACAGGGCCAAAAAAACTCATGAAAATAATAACACACTGAAATTAATTACTCTTAATGTATATTAAAAATTATAATTGAACTTTTTTGAGGGTCAATATGTAGTTTAAATTTTGAAACAGTATATAAAATCTCAGTTTAATAGTTTATTTTACATTCGCTTTTGAAAGGCACTTTTATGAAATATTAGTTATATACAGTATATTTCAAAAGTGGTCTCATGGAAAAAATTCATAGCTAAATCATAGTATTACACTTTTGTTTGTTTACTTACACGTCGAAATTTTACATTAGCAATATAAAATATAAATGAATGCTTTTCATAACACAATACCCATAAAAAGATAAATAATTTCGGTTGAGCTTTTTGAACGCTTTTGTGACAAACTGTATCACCCATTTTAGACTTTTATGGCATGTACAATACGTCACACATTTGTAAAAACATGTACAAATGCAATTGAAAGAAATATAAATAGTTTTGCTCCATGTCTTTTACCAGCATGTATTTTGTTAAATTTCTTAAATATGAAATAAATAAGAATCGAAGAAAATAAATAAATAGTATGATTAAGTAACTAATAATATACAGGATGATATACAATTTCGCAGTTTATTTCATCCTTACATTATGCTAATAAATGAAATAAATCATTTAAAATTACTCCTATTTATAGTTTTCAATGCAAATTATTTTTATTAAATAATAAAATGTGTATTTTAAACGGCGTCCAAGGTCAACTGAACGACAAGTAGTGGAACTGTAACAGTCAATTCAATGCTAGAAAAATAATTTATTTTTTAACAAGTTTTCAAAATATTAAATTAAAATTAAGTTCAATACAATAAATTCGAAAAAAAACACACAATTTATTTGTTTTTTCCTGTGGCAATCTTTTATTAATAAGATTTTAGGTATTTTATATCAATGGTAACATTAATAAAATATGTAGCTCAATGAGATTGAACTATCTATGGAACTGTCAGTATTTATGTTATAACCTCAACATACAGATTATTATTAGATTCAAATAATTCATCAAAATGAATTATTTAGAAGAGAAAAAAATAGAAATAAGGAATAAATTAGAGAATGTAGGTAAATTTGAAAAGAATAGATTAGTTTTATTTTATACATGTGTTTTATAGGAGCAGCTGAACCTTTCCATTTTGGAGGAGAAAATTTCCAAAAGTGCTCAAATAACTAAAGGAATTGAAACAATTTTAAACACATTTGAACAACGGTTATCAAAATTAGAAGACACGATCCTTCCTGTTTATAATGAAACGGAATATTTGCAGAAATGTCAGTACAGTATCCTTTGAATTAACTTAATTTTTTTCTAAATAAGTATGTAAACATTTTAATGTAAAGTCCTCAGCTCCAATTTAGACATTGATAGAACTTTGCAGGCTCTAGATAATGTAATTGGATATTATGATGTGTCAGCTTCAGTAGAAGATGTGATTGAGAAAGGACCTGGGGTTGTTACTGAAGGGGGCGTTCCCTTAGATACTTATTTAGCATCATTAAATAGACTTGCAAGAGCTCAAAAGTATTTTGAAAAACATATTCCACAGAGCGTCGAACTGGAGAATGTGGTAATTAAATACTTTTGTTTTTGATAGTAAGGTACAATTAATATTAATAAAGTATATTTGCAGGCAACACTGTTCAATAAAGGAAGTGATAAACTAAATTCTGAATTCAAATCTATTTTAGACAAGTACAATAAACCCGTTCTACCAGCTACTGTATTAAGTTTAATTGGTAGCGATGATGGTACGTTTTTCTGCGCAAATTTGCTGTTTAAAACATCTGTAATATCTTATTTTTTCTAAAAAGATACATCAAATGAAGATGTCCCATCTCCACCGCCCCAAATACCCGACACTTCTAAGAAAGAACTAACAAAAATGGCAGACTGGTTGTTGGATCATGACAGAGATGAGTTCTTAACTGTTTATGGTAAAGTGAGAGGTGGGGTACTTCAAAGATCACTTACACTTTTAAGAAATCATCAAAGATCTGCTAGTGGAGGAAGCACTTACGGGTTTACAAGTTCACCTATGATGGTAAAACTTATTAAATATTGAAACCGGTAACTGTTGACTATTCCTTTATTTATTATAGCGCCAGAAGTTTCAAAACAGACACGAGGCGTCTAGGAAACCGTCTACAAGAAGATTACAACACGTTTTCGAAAGAAAAGCCAATCGTATGCTATTGAGGGCCTCCCAAACGATAGAACATTCCACAGGATTAAATTTGGGGTCGAGAAGGTCATCATCACATTTAGGTTGCTTAATTAAAAAACAAACTAATAGATAAAGTATGTTATAATTATATTATCATAATAGATCCATCCTACAGTGGAGAAGAGGTGGACAATGAACAGGAAATGGAAAACTATTTAGTTTGTGTAGTTGCTTTACATAAATTGATGCAACTGGAGCATTCTCTGATGAAGGGCATTATAACACCCACCCATCAACCCCGAGTATTCGAACTTATTGTCAGGGAATCAATGGATGCGGTGGTGCAGGATGGAGAGGTAAGAAAACTCAAGATATCAAGCTTTTTGCCTAAATCTAAATTCAAATACGATTAATGTATATCTCTTTTTTCCTCAGAACATAGCAACTAGAGCAAAACGATGCATAAGCAGGCATGATTTTGGTTCAGTTTTGGTTATTTTTCCGATTCTGAAGCAACTTATGATGTTAAAACCGGAATTTGAAAGAACCGTTGAAGAATGCGATCCCAACGTACGATCTAAATTTGATTCAATTTTGAATACTCTCCATTCTACAGTACGTAATACTATTTCACTTTTTCGTTATTAAAGTCTAATACCTATTTATTATTAGGCTGCAAAAGCTTTGGAAGATTTCGTTGAAAGTCTACGTCTTGATTCTGTGACTCAGTTTCCCAAAGACGGCACTGTTCATGAATTAACGAGTAACGTGCTGATATTTTTGGAACATCTACTCGATTATATCGACACGTTAGGTTTGGTTTTGGGGGATGACCCGAGTTATTGTATGCAACTGGACAAACTACGCAATGTCGATAAGAACAAGGCTTTATTGGGACTTTACATAAGTACGAATAAACAAGCTGCCCTTTTAAAGTTAATTACCAATTAATTATCTAATTTTTATGTTTTTAGAAAAGGTTTTGGTACAATTAAATCATACTCTACTAAGCAAGAGCGAACAGTATGGAGACATTGCCCTAAAATCTATCTTCCGATTAAACAACAACAATTATGTTTTGAAATCCTTGCAAAGAAGTAAACTGTTGGAACTATATAGAATAGCCGAGCCTAAATGTGAACAATACTATTATAATTCGATTCAAGAACACAAAAAGGCTTATTCACAAAGGTAAGACTGATTATTGCTTTTTTATAGACTAGTTATTATATTTTACTTAAAAAAACAAACATAATCATTTTCGTGTACATTTTAATTAATTTAATTGTAAGGCTAATAACATTTAAGTAATCAAAAAGTAATTGCTAATGGTGTTAATTTTATAAAAACTTTTTCTTTGCAGTTGGACAAAGTTGTTAAGTTACATTTGGAGTTCAGACGACCAACCCATCGCATTAATGCACGGAGACAAAATGAGAGACAAAGAAAAGGCTGTTATTAAAGAAAAATTTTCGGTGAGTACTTAAAAAATTAATATTTTACTCTGTAGTCGGTATTTATTTAATATCAACCAATAAGAGTATATCGTCATCTGGTGATATTTGGTGCTAACACTAGTATGGAACAACTTCGATTTGGTCGGTGATTTACTAAAACTGCATACGGTGTGCTGATGAGAACTAGTAAGTTCAAAATCACAATCCACGTATGGTTGTTTCAATAAATTACTGACCAAGAACTTAATGTTACTAATATTTATTTATATATAAATGAATTAGAAATCGTTTTAAATATAAAAGGTACGATAAGTATTTGTTTTATAAGGGTTTTAATAAGGAATTGGAGGAAATAGCAAAAGTTCAAAGGAGTTACTCCATCCCTGACATTGAATTGAGAGAAAGTTTAAAAAGGGATAATAAGGAATATATTATCCCAAAATATAATGCGTTCTACGAAATGTTAGTACTGAACATAATAGTACAGAATAACCAGTTAATTAATCAATTATTTTAGGTATTCATTGCTACCGTTTTCAAAAAATCCAGAAAAATATGTCAAATATAAACCCGACGAAGTGTCTGCAATGATAGACCGATTTTTTGATGTTGCGGCTTAATGCAGACAACAAATTTATCTAAAACTTACGTAATTTTATTTAACAATAAATAGTCAACATTTAATATTTTTTTGCGTAGTTATTAAAAATGAAACCGTATTTTCAAATGGCTTTATTTACATCAAACACATTCAGTTAACAAAAGTTTTATCATTATCAGTACAGTATAAAAACTGGAAGTATCAGTATTACTAAGTCCTAAAAAATGAGAGAAAAAACACAACGTGATGTTCTACTAATAAACAATTGTAAGGAACTTTGTATGAATGACTTTCAACATTTCTGGTTTATGACACCTTAGTATTATAAGAATAAGGGAAATATAAACGCAAAAACACATACTATTAAGAAAACAAAATTGCTCAAACAGCAATGAAGAGGGTGATGGGACAATGGTCTGAACCATACACTTCGTTTCGGATTATGTTATCACAAACGTTCTCCATGAATCTGCTTGACACAATGAAATAGTCCAAGCGCCTAAAGAACAAAAAATAATTCACATTTTATTAGAAATTTTACTATTATTATAACAACATTTCTAAACATATCTAGTTGCACATATTTAATACATATCTATTTCAGGTTTAAGAAACTTTTTGCTTCCAAATATTAAGTACATCAATTATTATTATTGAATTTAAATTCAACCAGCAACTTTAGCATTCTTATCTATTGAAATAAAAGTTTCAAGTTTCACTTACCAGCCGACATTCTTAGATCTGGCGTTCGTCATGTATGTCCAGAAGGTGTAGGCCCCCTCGTTATCGGGATATAATTCCCTATAGGTATCCACAAAGCCTTCTCCTAAAAAGTCGGTCATTCCTTCTCGTTCTTCCTTTGTAAAACCTGCATTTTTGGTATTCGATTTCGGGTTTGCAATATCAATTTCGTTATGTGCAACGTTCATATCGCCGCAAATGATAACTGGCTTCTTTTTGTCCAAATCTTTGATATAATTCTTGAAAGACTCGTTCCATTCAAGACGTTTAGGAAGGGTCACCAACTTTCGTCCTAAATTAAAAAGAAAACTAATAAACAACAGAAAACCTTAATACTGAATTAAGAGATCTAATTTGGGGATAATTGTTTAGTATACATCAATTCATAAACAAGTTCACTCACCTGCATTGGGCACGTAGACACAAACCAGATAAAATTTTTCATATTCTGTAGTAATACATCTTCCCTCCTCATCATGAGATTCGTTATTAATGCCATAACTGACTGAAAGAGGTTCAGTTTTAGACAGCACACCAACTCCGGCATATCCCCCCTTTTCATTGCTGGACTGCCAATATTTGTAATTGTATTCGTCAAGATTCGAAATGTCTTCAGGTAACTGTTCTGATGAGCATTTCGTTTCTTGTAGGCAGAGTATGTCGGGCTTCTCGTGTTCGACGTATTTTATTCCGTCTTTTTTACACCAAGCCCTCAAACCATCAACGTTCCATGAGGCAATTTTTATGTTCCATTCTTGGCCTGAAGGAGCCTTACGGGTGCAATCAAAGTCAATATCGCCAAATGAGCTGTCTGTTTTATTTTTGAGAGGTGCTTTTTCTTTTTTCTCATTTTTAGGGGCAGCTTCGTTCCCTGTAATACAGTTGTTACAAAAAATGGAAAGAAACAACTAATTAGTTAATAATATGTTAATCTATGTTTAAATACCTTTTTTACGTTTTATTGTTGGCTCTGACAGTTCTGAAGGAGCCTCCTGGCTCTCCTGTTTCTTTACAGCTGTTCCATTCTTCTGCCCCCTGGCACCTTTTTTCCCCTTTTCAGGGACCTCAGTTTCTTCTGTTTCTTTAGGAGGTTGTTTCTTAACGTTCTTGCTACCTTTCTTCACAGGTTCTATCGTTTGTTTTTCATCATCATCTTCTTCTTCCTCCTCATCATCATCGTCTTTTTCTTTCTCTTCTTCCACTTTTTTTGCAACGGGACCTCTCTTTTTCAAAGTTTTCTGCTGTTTCTGAGGTGGTTCTGCACTATCTTTTGCATTTGCCTGTTTCTTTTTGGTCTTGCTGGCACTTTTCCCACTATCCACTATATTTTCCTCAGGTTCATCCTTTTCATTTTGTTTGTTATCCTTAGCCCTGCCACGTCTAGGTTTTTGATCAACTTCTAAATCTTGTGCTTCTTCAATGGGCTTTTTGGTTTGGCCCTTTCGTTTAGGCCTTTCATTTTCTACAGGCTCAACGATTTCAACTTCATTTGAATTATTCCCTTTAGCTGCTCGCCCCCTTCTCGACTGTTGAGGCAAATCGGCCTTTGTTTCCTTACCTTTACCAACCTGAATAGCAAGTGTGTTTTAATGATTCTTTTCGGATGTGCTGTTTTTAATCAACAAAACGTAGCAATACTTACCGCCTTTTTTGAAGGAGCTTTTTGGTTTGAATTTTTTACGTCTTCTTCAAATTCAACCGGCGTATCCCCTCCTGCCTTTTCGTCAATAACAGCACTTGCGGGCTCATCTTTAGACTGCGACAACTTTATGTTAACATAACGAGGTTAGAACGTTAAACGGAAAAACTTACTTTAGCTGCGCCAGCTTTTCTTTTAGGTGGCATTGTACGTTTCACAAAGTTGCAAACGTCAAAAAACAGCGAACGTTGATAGGGATTGTAATTATGTTCACTTGTTTTTTTCCAAACCAAGACACCTGTACTATAACGACGACGATCACTAAACCGGCTTCTCGGTTTTTTATCCCAATACTTTATTCGCCGACGGCAGTCAACGTAATTCCACCGAAACGAATAGGTAATGTAACGGAAACGAGCAAAGTGCGCGCCATAAAACATTACAAACTCAAAATTTTTAGGTTGGCATTGGTCATTGAGCTTGTCTATGGTCATTGAGAGGGAGTAAACGATCGGTGTCAAAACAACCGACCGAAGTAGCTAACTGAATTTACCATAGACATGGACATGTCTATGGAACTTAGTTTAAAACAATTTAATTGTTTTATTAACAAAGAAAAACGGTAATAACGTTGAATTTATTTATTATCTACATTTGAGCAAAGATTCTTCCTTATTTAGATATATTCCAGTAACATACTTTAGAGTAGTGGGGGAAAAAATATAAGTATTTGAATAGTAAACAATCAGTGCGCCTGCTCAATAATCAGGTGGATGTTATTGTGAAGTGCGGATGTTATTAAACAACTATGTGAGTTTATTAAACATTATTTATTTATTTTTAGAATATATATGTACTTACATTTTTATTATTGTTGTTAATTTCACACATTATTATCTCTTTAACTTTCTACCTTCGTTAAGTTATCTAATGGAGGCTTAGGTTTACTAGACTTGCGATGACCACTGTGACCTTTCTTATCATCTTCTGGATCAATTACACGTAATGCCTCTTCAAATGAATCAAACAATGCCTTGAGTAAATTAGAATAATATTTGTTTATTATTCTACCAAAGCTCTTGGTCGTTTTATAAGAAAGAAGTACAAAATTTTCTATTTCGACCCTCAACTTGGTAATATTTTTCAGCCAGTACAAGGCAAATCTGCTTATAAATTCGAAGAAAAATTTGTCTCTCAATTTAATCACGTCCTGTATACCTTCCCAGGGATTTAGTTGATGATCTTGTTCTTCATCATTTATTGCTTAATAAATACAAATATTAAAATAATTAATATTTCGTATAAATTTTCATACCTTTTTTAATATCTGCAGACACCAACAATAGAGGCATTAGTAAAGGTAATAACAAAATTGTGCTTTTCATTGTAATTTTTTTGGAGTTTAGTTTTTCTTTCGCGTGTTACCACATCTCTAAGTATTTTAGCTCGTTACGAAATTTAGAAAATAAAAAAATTGAGTAAGTACGTGACAATTTTTGATTTCGTTTATCTCACGTTTTGCAATTGTTCTAGACTATTATAGCATTCATTTGTTTGCTTGTTTATTGGTTGTAATTATGAATAAATTCAAAATTGTTTATTTGTTTAAAAGTTTACGTTACAAATGTAAGGTTCGGTTTGGTTTTGTTGAATAATGTGAGGTTATGTTGCTCTGTAGTACATCAGAGGAATGATAGATGGAATTAATGTAGGTTTCCGTAGGCACAGTTCAAAAATACCAAATTATT